ATTGTGACAATTGTCACCTTTCTAAGGTACATATTCACTGAAAATTTAATTTAACAACAATATATATTTTTACCTATTTGCTTCAAAAAAATTCGAAAAAACTTAAAAATGAAGATTATGACAATTGTCACTTTTCTAAGGTACATATTCACTGAAAATTTAATTTAACATGTTTACAATATTTATTTTTACCTATTTGCTTTAAAAAAATTCGAAAAAACTTAAAGATGACGATTATGACATCACTTTTCTAAGGTACATATTCACTGAAAATTTAATTTAACATGTTTACAATATATATTTTTACTTATTTGCTTCAAAAAAATTCGAATTAAAAATGACGATTATGACAATTGTCACTTTTCTAAGGTACATATTCATTGAAAATTTAATTTAACATGTTTACAATATATATTTTTACCTATTTGCTTCAAAAAAATTCGAAAAAACTTAAAAATGACGATTATGACAATTGTCACTTTTCTAAAGTACATATTCACTGAAAATTTAATTTAACATGTTTACAATATATATTATTACCTATTTGCTTCAAAAAAATTCGAAAAAACTAAAAAATGACGATTATGACAATTGTCACTTTTCTAAGGTACATATTCATAGAAAATTTAATTTAACATGTTTACAATATATTTTTACCTATTTGCTTCAAAAAAATTCGAAAAAACTTTAAAATGACGATTATGACAATTGTCACTTTTCTAAGGTTACATATTCACTGAAAATTTATTTAACATTACAATATTTATTTTTACCTATTTGCTTCAAAAAAATTCGAAAAAACTTAAAGATGACGATTATGACAATTGTCACTTTTCTAAGGTGCATATTCACTGAAAATTTAATTTAACATGTTTACAATATATATTATTACCTATTTGCTTCAAAAAAATTCGAAAACACTTAAAAATGACGATTATGACAATTGTCACTTTTCTAAGGTACATATTCATAGAAAATTTAATTTAACATGTTTACAATATATTTTTACCTATTTGTTTCAAAAAAACTTTAAAATGACGATTATGACAATTGTCACTTTTCTAAGGTTACATATTCACTGAAAATTTATTTAACATGTTTACAATATTTATTTTTACCTATTTGCTTCAAAAAAATTCGAAAAAACTTAAAGATGACGATTATGACAATTGTCACTTTTCTAAGGTGCATATTCACTGAAAATTTAATTTAACATGTTCACAACAATATTTTTACCTATTTGCTTGAAAAAAATTCAAAAAAACTTAAAAATGACGATTATGACAATTGTCACTTTTCTAAGGTACATATTCATAGAAAATTTAATTTAACATGTTTACAATATATTTTTACCTATTTGCTTCAAAAAAACTTTAAAATGACGATTATGACAATTGTCACTTTTCTAAGGTTACATATTCACTGAAAATTTATTTAACATGTTTACAATATTTATTTTTACCTATTTGCTCGAAAAAACACAAAGATGACGATTATGACAATTGCCACTTTTCTAAGGTGCATATTCACTGAAAATTTAATTTAACATGTTCACAACATATATTTTTACCTATTTGCTTCAAAAAAAATCGAAGAAACTTAAAAATGACGATTATGACAATTGTCACTTTTCTAAGGTACATATTCACTGAAAATTTTATATAACATGTTTACAATATATATTTTTACCTATTTGTTTCAATAAAATTCGAAAAACTTAAAAATGACTATTATGACAAATTTTAACCCAACAAGCCGACCCAACAAGCCGAACCAGCAATCTGACTCATCGGGTCGGCCCATTGGGTCGGCTCATGAGGCCCATTGGGTCGGCTCATGAGGCCCATTGGGTCGGGTCTGATCTATGGCTAAATGGGTTCGCTCGGGTTTAAGGTCGTTTTTTTCGGCTCAAACCTTGCTGGGTTTTCGGCCAAGCCGACCCGACCCAGCAATTTAACAACACTAAGTTTTAGATTTTATGAATTTTTATTCAATATCAAATGACATTCATATAATGTATGAATACCGAAAATCATGTCAATTATAAATATTTTAAGAATTGGATCAAACCGAATAAAAGGCTTTGTACATGGAATCTTGCCAGAGGCGTCGCTAGCCTTTACAATCTCAGGGGGATCAACTAAAAAAAATTTATTCGGCCGTGTTTTATATTAATATATTATATTTTTTTTAAATTTACTTACTCTAAATAATTATTCTGAATGTCATTTATTATATTTTACATGCAAAATAAACTAGCATATAAAAATAATACAAGACATTTCTAAAAATAATATTTTTTAATAGAAAATCTATTTATTACAGTATAAAATATTTTAGATTGTTGATATAAAATGATTTTGCGTCTAAAGAATAATAAATGATAAAAAAGGTTAATTAATTCATATATGCCTCAATTGATAAGAGTTTTTGAAAACTACATAATATAATATAATTCTTAGCAACTTACATTGACAAAAGGTCATGAAACTAATATAACTTCCTATTACCATTTTAGACAATGTTTTATAGAATGGACTAATAAAAAAAAATTTATAGACCTTACCAAATCAACAATTCTTGAAGAATAGAATATAAACGACCAATCCAAATCATAAAACTATAATGATTAGAGCTTCCTCTTAGATGACATGATGGAAGCTAAAGTAATCGAGAAAATTATTGTATGATATTAAACTTCTAAAAGATTATCTTCCATTTTCAATGTTATATAAACGACTACACAGTTGACCTATTGCTTATCTAAAATGTGCGATCATATGCTCTCAGTAAAATTTTAAAAATATTAAATATATTATACTAGTTGATAACCCGTCAAAAATGACGGGGATGAGAATTTTATTCGTTCTTTTACGATAATTCTTTTTACCCCTCCCCCTCCTCCTTCAGGCTATTTCCAACCCATTAAGACTAAGAGTGATGAATTGTCTTTTTTATTCAATGATTGATGAATAATATATTTTACCTTTATTTGATGATGGATGAATCAGAAATTTTCCTATTTTATGAGATGTGATTTCGAAATTTATATTTTAAATTACAAAAATGAATAAAAATGAAAAAATATCTCATATTAGCATCACACTGATCACCCGTCAAGAATGACGGGGAATTATAATTTGAGATGTGATTTAGAAATTTATATTTAAAATTACAAAAATGAAACAATATCTCTTATTAGCACCCTAAATACTAACATTATTTACCAGAGCTCCTGTTAGTCAGAATTGCTGTTCACTCCCCACCGCGTGAAGGTAGGAGATGGATTTTAGGGGAGCAAAGAAATGAAAAAAAGAATGAAAAAAAAGGAAGAAATAGAAAAAAAGAGACAAAGATATGAATTATAAGGAAATATAATAAATATTTATACTTCAAGAGTTGATGATTATCGGGTTACAACACATATGCATTTGTAGCCATATAAAAAATATAATATAATAAATTTTATAATATAGAAAATTTTACCTAAAAAAGGAGATTTAAAATATTTTCAAAATTGAGAGGGATGTAAGAATTTTAAGCATTAGTCGGGTATATCACCGTATCTTGACTTTTATTTGTTAATGTTTTGCAATGGCTCGTAGTTTGCCGTAAATATCCTGAAATAAAACGTGTAAATTGAAATTACAAAGTAGAATTTACTGTTGTTGGTGAGGAAGATGGTTTAGCGATGGTGAAGAAGTTCTCTTTTCTTTGCTCAATGTGGTTTCGTTTTTGAAGATGATGTTGTAATTTCCTTGCTCGTAGTTTGCCGTAAATAACCTGAAAACGTGTAAATTGAAATTATAAAATAGAATTTACTGTTGTTGGTGAGGAAGATGGTTTAGCGATGGTGAAGAAGTTCTCTTTTCTTTGCTCAATGTGGTTTCGTTTTTGAAGATGATGTTGTAATTTCCTTGCTCGTAGTTTGCCGTAAATAACCTGAAATAAAACGTGTAAATTGAAATTATAAAATAGAATTTACTGTTGTTGGTGAGGAAGATGGTTTAGCGATGATGAAAAAGTTCTCTTTTCTTTGCTCAATGTGGTTTCGTTTTTGATGTTGTAATTTCCTTGCTCGTAGTTTGCCGTAAATAACCTGAAATAAAACGTGTAAATTGAAATTATAAAATCAAATGTATTATTTTAAAATGACTCCATAAATCTGAACTTTTTATACAGGACTCTATAATATCGACTTTGGAGCCCTAAGGCACTACTGATAAAGTCTGTCTAAAATCACCACCTAATAAAATAACTTTTCCGCCAAATGGGTGGGAATTTTTCTTAATGTCTTTAAGTAATCGGTCAATGCATCGCAAAGCGTGTTTAGTCATTATTGTGGCCTCATCAATAATAATCAATTTGCTATTTTTAATATCTAGAGCTAGCGAACTATGTAAATTCATATGGGATGTAGAAGTTTCAAAGATAGACACAGGTAATTTAAATCCGCTATGGATGGTTCTTCCCCCCTTTAAAAGAATAGAGGATATGCCGGTGGTTGCAAAAGGCAATACAATTTGATTTTTTGCTTTTATATAACACATTAAGGATTTGTAAAGATACGTTTTATCTGAACCTCCAGGGCCATCCACGAAGAAATATCTTTCTGGAATATTTTCTAATTCAATCGCTTATATAATTAAATCAAAAGCATATTTTTGTAATCGGTTTAATTTAGATATACGCTCGATTGAATCGGCAGCTTCAACATGGGCATCATAATGTTGTTTTGGGGGGATTTTTATAGGTGAAGGAAGATAAAAACTTTGACAGCACAAACCATGATCAAGAAAAACGTTTTCAATGTCCATTAAAGCCATGTTTATTGCAATTACTTCTGAATATTGACGCAAATAATCTTCAATCATCATAAATATGAACCTATTCCATAGATATGCAGGATTTTCAGGCTGACAAAAAATGCAGATAAAGGCAAAAGTATTCCGAAGTTGTGATGGCATTTGATATATTGATCCCTCTTCTAAGCATGATTCTCACTCTTTATCATCTGATAACAAATTTCTTTTAATAGCTGCCTCTTTAAAAGTACTCATTAAAATTCCATTAATAGTTTTTAAATAATCAAAACTTGTAGCCCCGCAAACATGAAGTAATAATAATCGAAGGAAGAATCGTTCACCAGAATTAGGATGAACGGAATACATTCTCGAAATTACATTTAATCGTTTTTTTCTTAGTTTCCAATGGTAATTTGTAAACACATAATGATAAGGTATTTCCCCATAAAGATATTGTCTAGTATTTAGATCTGTCTTATTTAACTCAAACCATGCCGTTAAAGTAGTATGTTTATTTTCTGATCTCAATAAAGCATCTCTTTCATGTCCAGCAGTGAAATATACTGGCTGTTGTAAAGGTAAATGAATTCCTAAGCGAATAACAGCGTGCGAGCGGTCATGCATATTATTTTCTAATAATCTCCACATTGATTCACATGCACTCCACATATCGCGCATTTAAATGTGATTTAATTTCGTCATGAATATTTATATTTGAAGCAACATTAATGTCAACATTAGTACAGTCATAGCCCTTATAAATATACTTAAAGATATATTTTACCGATTTAATAGATGTACAAATTTCCACGTTAATATGAGCATTGAATTTTAACATTAGATATCGATTATATGGAATAACATAATGATTATCCGTAGGTTTACCGGAAAGAATTGTAATACCATTATCTCGCCTTTTATAATATGGATACCCATCAATATTTGGTCTTGTTTCCATTTGAAAATCCTTAGGAAATTTTTTGGTACATATGCCATTTTCCATGCAAGGCGATTTGGTTTTAGATATCCCGCAAGGACCATGTATCATAAAATGGGTAACAATCTGAAAAAGTTTAGGTTCGAGAATTTTATCTGGCATTTCGGCACAAACAAATTTATCTATAGCTTGAGATGTTTCAATTTTGCTATCATCGTTTAAAATAATAAGTATATGGGCATGAGGCAAACCTCTTTTTTGGAACTCGATTGTATATATAAAAGCCATAGATTTACGAAAAAATTTTTTTTATTTATATCGAACAATAATTCATTTAATTTCAATTTAAAAACACGGGCTATTAAATCTGGTCTATCTGTAGGACTTTTCCCGGGAAATAGATTTTCCTTAATTTCACGCCAATTAGGATTGCATGTAAAAGTAATAAACAAATCAGGTTATTTAAATTGACTTATCTTAAAATAAATGTATAAAAAAGAATATCATATTTTTTTGAAAAGATAGGATTCCTAGGTATATGAGAATTTATTGTTATTCTTATCTATATAAAATAATATAGATAACTTAATATATAAATAACATAGTAAATTATTATGTCACAAAAAAATAGGGTATAAATTTACTTATAAAAATCTAAAGTCTGATAAAATGAAAAATACTGAGTCATTAAAATTTTTGTATTGGTTAAGGGTTCAATGATAGGTTTGTTAGTGCTTAATAGAACAAATTATTACACATCCTTTATTGGTTGAATTTAAAAAATAATGAATATTAAATTAAAAAGAATATGGAAAATAAGGTTACCTCTTTTATTGAAAGGATAGGATTATTAGGTGAAAGAGAATTTGCATTTTTTATTGTTATTCATCTATATAGTTAAAATTTACCTATAAAAATTAAAAATTTAAATAGTCAGATAAAAGGATACTTATGATTCATAGATTCTTGAACTTGGTTAAGAGTCAATAGTAGGTTAGGCAGTGCTAATTATATTTAGCACATCATTAGTAATTTTAATTTATGTGCACAGTAAAAAATCATTTGAACTAAATTTTTATTCATTTATTTGCAATTTTAGAAAAATTTCAAAATAACCCCTGATCTTAATAAATATAAATTTCTGAATAAGATCCTGTCTTAGTATGTTAAAAAAATGTATATATATATATAAGCCTCAAATGTCAATCAGATGGATTGTAGACATCTGATTGGAGGAAAAAAATTATTATTATTTAATGTAAAAAAATAATAATAATTATTATAATAATATATTTTTTTGAAAATATATATTTTTGTAAAGTTTCATTAAAAAAATTTGTGTTAAATTTATAAAAAAAGAAGAAATAATAATTATATAATTTTAGTTTTTATTTTGTAAAGATTAATTAAAAAAAAAAATTGCCAAAGTTTTAAAGGAAAAGATTATTATAAGAAATAAAGAAATTTTGAATAATTTAAATAGTATTTTGTTATACTTATTCTATCGTTTAATACTATTCAATATCAACTATGGGTATCCAGAATACACCTAAAAAGTGTTGACCGTTCTCCCAGGATTCGAACCTGGAAATTCAAGGGTATTCATTATTTTAAGGTAAAAAAATAAAACTTTTTTTTATTTTACATATTATAGGTTACCTTAGGACACAACGCAATAATAACGTTTTTGTGGTTTAAATTTTTTTTTTGTGAATTTTAATTAACAAAGTAGTTTGGAAAAATATTTTTTCTTTTTGTAATAACGTAATTTTAAAGTAGAAATTTGTAATATGCGATGGTTGTGTATTTCGATAAGTATTCTGAGCCTACTTTTATTAATAAAATTGCCATCTTTAAGGATATGGGTTATAAAATCTTGTATCAGAACCTTAATGAATTGGATATAGGTCATCACTTAGTTACATTAGGATTAATAATAATTCTATATTCAATATATATACTTTTGAAATTTTTATGTGGAAAATGTACTTTGGTTGCGACCAAGGTATATGGTAATTGGAAAAAGGACACTCTGGTGTCTGTTAATTGTTTTAAAAGAATTTCGGACTTGGAAAGTAGTTTAAATGGAATTTTAAATGAAATCAAGAACGGCAAACCAGGAATGGTTGAAACGATGAAAGATAATATTGATGATCGTTTGGAATTTATGGAGAGATCAGTGGTTATCCTCCAGGAATTAAAAGATATAAAAGAATCTATTAAAGATATTTATAGTGATGTATCCAGGTTGATTAGTATGAATAATCAAGGGGATAAGAAACAATTCGGTGATAGAATTATTTCGAATGGAAAGAGTTTTCCAAAAATGATTGCTGACATAATTTGTAATCGGTGCGGTTACAAGGGTCATTATGCCAAAACCTGTATTGTAAAGGAACAGAATTTTAGAATGGGTTTTCCATTGCAAAATTCTAGTGGAGAAAATTCCAACGTAATGAAGATTTCAGGCCTAGATGTAAATAAAGTTGATTCGTTGAAATCGGATTTGGATGGGTCTCGTTTATATTTTAAATGTAAAGAGACGGGACATATAGCTATAAATTGTGCTTTACACTGACTATATGATAGCAAATGTAATCATATAGCAGTTGGAATACAGGGAAATAAAAATTTTAAGAAAGTATATTATAATAAAAAGAGATGGGATTCTCATAATTTTAATGGTTTTAATGAAAATGTTTGTTATCATGAAGATAAAGTTAAAACGGATTATAGTTTTAATGTGAATATAATGAAAAATAATGCTTTTAAATGGGAAAGATTTCCTGGGAGCATTGTGAAATATACAAATAGAAAAAATGTTGATAATTTTAAATGGGAGAAATATCCTCGGGATATTATGAAAAAATATAGTTATATTAGTAAAGCCTCGAAATTCTGAGTTGAATTTAGGAGGAAATTTAAATTTTAATGAAATGCATATTTCAGAGGGAATATATAGCGATCAGCCCTTTAAAACTTGTGAAATTTTAAGGACTGATGGAATAAATAGACTGAGTCAATGTCCTAGGGTTAACTTGAGAATTGACTGCAGGTATATTGATATGCTATTTGACACTGGTGCGAGCATTTCGATAATGTCTTGTGAAAATTTTTATAAATATTGGCCTAATGGCGTGATTATTAAAGAAAATATGTGTTTAAAACAGTTCGATGGTTCTGAAATTGAGGTTTTGGGTAAAACTCAATGGTATGTGGTTTTTAATGATACTATCATAGGTTTAGATTTATGGATAGTGGGAAAAGCAGTGGAAACTATTATGGGGTGGGATTGGATTACCACAATTGGACCCTATAATAATTATTGGAATTTATTTATTATTGATAGCGGATTAGCTAGTGATAAAGGAGATTTAATGGCGGATAATATCCAAGATGAACTTCAGAAAGAAGGGATATCTAAATTATTGAACGATGAAAATAGGATTGTCGGTAATAATAATTTTATTGAAACTCCTGAAAGGGTAGGGATCAATTCTGATCATACAGAAATAAATGGTAAAATTGATAGGGATCAATTTATGGAAATTGAAATCGATGGATTAAAAAAAATCGATCTGGCTATACCTGTTTTGGTTAGAAAATATGGTATAATTTTTGAAGAAAAATTAGGACGTTTAAATGATTATCAAGTAGACGTTAAACTTAAAGAGAGTTTTTCACCCATCTTTTTGGCTTGTCGAAGAGTTCCTTTTGAGTGGAAAAGGGAAATCGATGAAGAATTGGATCAATGGGTTAGAGATGGCATCATTGTTCCTGTGGAATATAGTGAGTGGGCCACACCATTGGTACCTGTTAGAAAATCGAATGGAAAGTTAAGGCTTGCTGATTTCCGTGTAACGTTAAATAGATGGGTAGTGGAGGTAAAATATCCATTGCCTAGGATTGAGGAAATTTTGGCCAGTTTAAAAGGTGCCAAGTATTTTTCCAAGGTTGATTTTTCTTCGGCTTATTTGCAATTGCCTTTGAAAGAAGAAATTCATAAATTATTTACAATAACGACTCCGAAAGGACTATTTGTCTTTTGTAGGCTACCGTTTGGATTAAGTGTGTCAGCGCCGATATTTCAGCGCACTATGGCATCAGTTTTCCAGGGCCTAGAAGGAGTTTATTATTATATGGATGATGTGTTGGTGACTGGTATAATACCAGAGCAACATAATCAACGTTTGGAAGAGGTTTTCAAGCGGATTCGTGATAAGGGTCTGAGGGCCAGCAAGGAAAAGAGTGTTCTTGGGGTAACGGAAGTTATCTACTTAGGACATCGCATAAATGAAATGGAGGTGAAACCTCTGGAAAAAATTTTAAAAAATATATCGAATATGAATCCGCCAACCAATAAAGCGGAGTTGCAATCATTTTTGGGAATGGTAAATTATTATCATCGTTTTGTGGAAGATTTTGCAAAATTGGCATCTCCATTGTATGGTTTATTAAAGAAAGGTGTTCATTTTGTGTGGAAAATTGAACAGAAAAATGCTTTTGATATTTTAAAAGGAAAAATTGGTGAGGAACCGATTTTGGTATGTTTTAATAATGATTTAGAGATCATATTGGCAGTGATGCATCCAACAAGGGGGTTGGAGGTGCATTGTTACATTTAATGGATGGTGTGGAAATACCCATCATATTTTTTTCGAGAGTTTTCAGGGAAGTGGAAACTAGA